GTAAAGTCCGTTGATAGCAAAAGCCTTTGTTGTAAAGAGTACCTTAGCCAGACTGTTTATAGATGCAAAGTATGTAATGTAGCTTTACATCATGATTGTAATCAAGCTTTTCATGCTTGAATCTTTCAAATAAAATAATCTTTATTTGTAAAAGAAATAAAATGTATATTTTAATATTAAATTAATTACAAGTAATCCTGCGCTCCACTGAAAGAAACATCACACGAGTACAATCCTACTCACTAAACATCCGTAGTCTTATTCCGCTGACGTTGCGCGAACGCAACACTCGCTTTTTCCACACCTAAGAGCATTTTTTTTTATTTTCAATGTAAATTTATGTTATAAATGCTTAATTTAATATTTTCTATTATTTTCATGAGAAATGAAACATTCCTTGTAGTTTTGGCGGTTAATGGGTTAATTCACTCTTTCACTGGAGACGAACGAACATAACTACTGAATATAGAAAGAAAATGTAAAATGTTCAACAGTAGATTCCACTATAAAAATACTGGGGAAGGTTATAGTAGCAGAATCCTATTTAAAAACCACGACATCTCTGCTTAAACTCGGTTCATAAACGGTACACACCCCTTAAAATGAGTTTAAAATGAACATCACTGGAGCAATTCAGAATATAACATAAGGACAAACTTCATTTTATCTCTAAAAATATGTTAGTTAACGCACTGAACTGGAGCATTATATTCAACACATGATGTGATCCGCCAACAGCCAAGTGGTAAATTCTTTTAACACTGGTAGTTTGTCGAAAGTTAGATTCCAGACAAATGGACTGGCTACATGGGTGTTTCTGTGATTTTACCCACGTGTTTATGAGCCAGTTTCCTTACAAAGTCCTCCATGAAGGTATCCCTCCGTTTAGGTCTTCGAGAGCTTTGCTGTGTTTAAATAAACCAACCAACTTAAAATATATACAAACAAGGTAGGTCTCATAAATATGTGCACATACTATTTTTATGAAGTGGTCAAGTTTAAATTGAACATCTTGTATAATAAACAACGAACAAAGTTTAAACTGAACATCTTGTATAATAGACAACGAACAAAGTTTAAACTGAACATCTTGTATAATAGACAACGAACAAAGCTTAAATTGAACATCTTGCATAATGAACAACGAACAAATTTTAAATTGTACAAGAGATAATTATTTCCAACTGTAAAGTAATAAGCACATATATTAATACAATTTTTTTTGCAAAATGATGAAACTGTAGTTTCGGTATCATGACTTTAAAATGTAATATCAATTCCAGGAAGAGAAAATAAATCCATGACGGTTTGAAAATAGATTTTAAAATACAAGGCAAAAACTGAATATGCTACTATAACTAAAATGCACAGGAAAATAAGGAAAAAAAGTCAAACTATTCATAAAATTACTTTTTTCAGTGACTAAGTTAAAAAACAGTAGTTTGAGTTTTCCCATAAGTTTGTACAATGCACTATGTATGATATGTTTTTTCGGGAACAAAGCAATTTTCTAATCTAGAATTAATATTACTGTTAAGTATATTAGTTGAATAATTGTATCATTTTTATATGAGTAATCTGCTTCATAGGATATTGTTTTTAGCTGTCTTCTAGATTTTATATGCCTCATTTTCTAATTTTATCAAATAGTAAGGGAAAATGCTACACTATATTCCAAAACATCTTGATGGTAATTACGTAACTTATAACAAGAACTCAACATTAAACGAGTAGTGATTTTTAGCTTACCCTCAATATGTATGCGTGTATATATATACTTGCAGCTTCATGCACCAAGTCTGAACCTCGAAAAAAAAATTTTTTTTTTCATTTCAATTTTTTTTTTCGAGGTTTCAGACTTGGTACGTGAAGGGGCAGTTGCCCCTCGCTCTCTATTTTTTTAGTTTGCTGATATTTTTTTGCGTTTTAGTGTATGTGTTATATGTTTGATCAGATAGCCTGGCTCAGTAAAAATAGGCGGCCAGTGTAACTCTGATTCAAAATCCGGTTACGACCACGTGCACACGTGCAGTGCTAATAACGACCACGTGTTTCTGAGACTCCTTGGCCGATGCTTTATTTTTCTTCTTTTTCCTCCTTTTTAGTAATTTCGTTCTCCTGATGAGGAGGGACATTTAGCTACCCTCGAAATCGATTGAGTGTTTTAATATATGTACGCTAAATACAAGGTTGTATTGCGATTCTGATTGTCACATTGGCGATTTTCTCTTCTATTCTAACCATAGTTCACCTTACATTTCTGAATCACATAGGCCACTATCGATTTTGAGTAATTCAGCTCGTTAGATATGAGGCCTAAAAATCGGTCGTTTCTGTGATACCGGATGATTACAACTTTCTCGAAATCAGGTAACTCTGCAGTTCGTGGCACTGGCATGCGACTGATGAAATATCGTTTCCTGCACGATATTTAAGTTGGAGCGCGTGACGTATATCAGGATCGCACATATCGGCATTTGCATCTGTATCAAAATACTTACTTTTAGAGTGTACTAGAAACAATATGAGAGTGTGGAAAGAAATTTAAACGGAGAAGTGTAGCTTCAAAAACAAAGTGAGAGATGTTTAACGGTCTTTCTCCATGATGCGTTGCGATATAATACTAGCTGTCATTCAGAACGTGACTGAGAGGGATTTCTCCTCGAATGCGATCCGATAAGAACATGAGAACAAACGTAAGGTCTGCGCAAGTTACAATATCCGTTCCCCGTATTTAGTTAAGTAGTTCAAGTGTCTTCAGAAGCTCTGCACTGGAAAGGTCACTAGCGCTGCACGACCTGAGACTTGCACGGCCAGAAGGTAAACACTGTTATTACTTTGAAAACGAAAAATAATACCCACTCTCATGAATTTATTCCACTATTTATTCCGGCACAATTTAAGTTCTGCCGCTATTCCAAAATCCTAAAATTAGAAGAGAAAAAGGAGACCCGTTATATCTTTAAGCGAGGCACATTATGCTGTATGTGTGCAGAAATTTAAGGCTGAGATTTTGCCGAAAATGGAAAAAAATCTTCGGGATGCGCCCCACTGCTATGCTAAAATGCTGAAATTCCTGAAAGAGGGATCATAATTGCAGTCACTCTGACAAAAGTATCTGTAGAAATGGAAAACCGTCTGGAAAGATGCTACGAGTTGACCTGGGTTGCTTCACATTTTTTGTGTCTTTTTAGTGAGAGGTACGAATGATCAGAAAGTGTCACTTACCCTTATAGCTTGCATACAGCCTTTTAGTTACTGTGTATATGGAAGTATTTTAATTTGAAACAGTAAATAAAATTTATTACTGTTTCTCAGTTGAGTATGCAATACAGACGTGAAAGAAAGATTAGATTTTTAATGGCAAATAAATTTTTCTGTTTCATATTACATACTACTAAAATTATGTTTAAAGTACTGCAAAATATCTATGCTTTTAGAAGTTTTAATTAAATTTTTATTTTAGATACAAAATGAAATATGCTAATTCGTTCATTCATACATGTATTGCCGGGATGCCGCTGCCTGGGTGACTGATATACCAAAAGAGCACATGACGGCTGAAGACTGGAGTAGGTAAAGGACGGTCGGAGGTAAAAGAGGGGTTAACCAAGCGTCACAAATAGAGACAACGAGAGGCGGAGAGCGCGCAATGTCAGATTAGTGCATGTTCATAACTGGGAAATATGATAATATTGTATCTTATGGGATTTGAACACATAGGACTTTAAAACAGAAAACATGCTAAACAGCACACATATTTATTGCATACATATTTCTAAAACTTATTATCATAACTATTTCAGTATAGCAGATTCTAAAAAAATTAAATGTGCATTAACTTATGTTAGAGCTTCAAATATCAGTAAGTTTAGTTTTGCACTTAGCAATGCTTAAGCTAGATATCTCTATGAATTACAAAGTAAAACTGTCACTTTATAAGCGATGCGTGCAGCGCTTTTCCATGATTTTCCACCATCATTTCAATTCAGATTATTGTACCACAATATATAATGAAAGTACTGAACAGTGAGAAAAGATAGATATCATACTATCGAAATGTACAAGAAACTATGAAATGCCCGGTAAAAGTTTAGTAATTCTGTTCATGATATCACAACGCATTTCATATTTCTTAGGAAGCCTGTCGCATCATAAATGAAGTATTTATTAGTAGTTGAAGAGCGGGGTAAATGTGTAATCGCTTAATCGTACCATTATGCGTGTATGTTGCTTAGAAAGCCATGTTTGCAGTGCATTTACACTGTATGAATTCAGTATGGCTCTGGTAACTTAGGCATCAATGAAAGGCTACAAAGAAAAGAAATATATTGCTTTCAGAGCACATAAGCAAGTGCTATGCAAGGTATAGAGTAAATCACTTCTGAACATCTCGGAGTATAGGGAAATAGATTAAACTAAACGCAAAATAAACCAAATCAAAACATTCAATAAACATTTAAGGAAGTCAGATACCTATTCGTTTTACTTAAAACACAAGAAAGAATAATAAAAATTATATTTTATGCCAGTATAAGCTATATCTATATTAATGCTTTTGTTACACCACGCTCATAAATAAATGGCAAAAGCGATGAAGTAAAAGTCGCCAAATGCCAGATTCTACATCCTTACATTTCCTGTGTTAACCCGTTGGAACAAACCGTACAAGAAAAGTTCTTAACTCTAAAGGTATTATAAATCTCAAGGGGCCCTTATGTAGGCTTCGTTAATATGCCCGTTAAGCTAATCTGTGAAAGTGTCATCTATAGGTGAACTGAATCTCGCTCATAAATATTATATTAATATATCTTGGGTTTCATATTTTAACCCTTTTCTCACCCGGTTGGAATAAAATAAATTCGTATCATGTCTAAGAAATTATTTTTCTATGAAACAAAATAGCTTTTTTCCTATTTGTGTTTTCTTCGTATTTAAGCTTGATTTTTTAACTGCGGCGCAAAGACTTAGGAAGTGCAAAACTTTAGAGCTTTGTATTTTGTTCGTCCGTCTGTCTGTTTTAAATTTAAAGCGCGTCTTTATTTACGATTGTTTTTAAGTTTACATCAATTATGCGTTCTGTTCTGATATGGGAAGCGCAGTTACTAGATAAAGAAGAAAATCCCCAATGGTAATAAACTGTACTGACGATCTTACTTATATACTTGTTAAGCTTATTTTATAGTTTGCGGTAAAATCATTGGTAATAATATCCGGATTGCTTAGCGCTGATTTTTAATGAGTTATGTGTGAAAGAGAGAAATTAAAAGTGTGGATAATATCCTATGCCATTCATTGTGATGCAGGAGTAGTATAAACGTGAGCGTTAATTTTTTTTTTCGTTGAATATTTTTAAATGTTTCTTAAGTACATTTTAAATGCTTCCGAATTGTAATAATTTCATGTAGACGGATTAGGAAGAAATTACAAAAAAAAAAAAAAAAAGTTTTCGCAGTGTACTGATGTGTGTTGCTTTGTAATGTTGTTGCATTTAGGTACCATTGATCAACATATTTACTTTAATGCAAGACTTGTCCTTATGTCTTGTAATATGTTGTTTATGGTTTTATTATTCATTAGAAGCTTACTAATGAATGACAAGGTCCCTGAACCCTAGTAGTCTCCTCTTCAATTCGCTATTAATATATAAACTGACTGTATTATTTTCGGCACTTGCGTATTAACATAATGACTTTGCCACAGTTTGGTCATTTTTTAGAGATGTAAAGGTAAAAGTTGCCAATGGGGTGGAAGTTGGTGGTTTGTGTGACTTTTGTTTTTTAAATTCCCAAGCAATCAATAATTATCTTACGTTGGCACACATTATCAACATATGAAAACAAAGCACACTTTAGTAACTTAAAGTGCAAATTTTAGTTATTAAATAAGAATTATGTGATATGTTAAAAAATTGTATAACAGTTACATTCTTCTCTAATTTTTTTTGTATTCTTTTGGGAGGGGTTCTATTCTTCTCCCCAAGTACGTAGTGATCTGTTTTTGCTTAAAAGCATCAGACAATTCCAGACTTGGCATCACTCAAAGCTTGGCAACATCAACTATCTTCCAAACATATCTTTTCATTGTTCCGTTTAGAAATTTTGAGGTGAAATTCTGTAATCCTGCAGAAATTTTCCTGCACATTTTTCCATTGCTGGCTAATTTTTTAAAATGAAGTCAAACAATGTCATGACTCCTAAAAACCAATGGAATGTGGAATATATATATATATATATATATAAAGAACGTGTATGAATATGGTGAGGTTGCTTGATGATGGATAGTTATGGTTAACAAAAGAATGATTATGCATATTGTTGCCCGAGTTTTGCACATTCTGAAAATTTGGTGACTTATATGAAGGTGGTTGTGATAACACATATCCTTTTTTCATATTTTTGAGACACATAATATAAATGAAAGCTAGTTTCTCGAATAGAATCCATGAAGGCATCTATTCCAAGGATGATATACCTTTAAAGGGCTTTGCTATTTTTTCATACTTAAATGGTGCTACTTTGGTAGACGGTTGCACGGATTTTGGCGAGTAATACAATTTATGGTAAACCCATTGCTGGATAAGTTATTTATGGTAACCGATACTTTGTTGTCATTTTATTAAAAAAATAATATGTTTTATTATGCATAAACTTCCGTGTTTTAAATATTATTTATGGCTTCTAAATATTAAAAATCAATTTAATTTTACATTTTTATTTGAAATAAAAATTTTTTGTTTATAATATTTTATATAATTTTATGTTGTGGATGATGTAATCAATGACGTCACCTTACTTAAAAAGTAATTGTTTTATTAATATCTATAAATTTAATCTAATGTTTTAAACATTATTTATGGCTGTTAAATATTAAAATACAATTTAATTTTGCATTTGTTTTAAAAATGATTTTATTATGAATGACTATTTAAATAATTTTAATTCTATGCGTGATGTAATCAGCTCCCTGATTGGTTACTGAATATTTGTGCATTACCGCGCCATTTTAAAATTTTATTATTCATCTCTTCGAATTCTTCAGATTTCAAATGGACTGGATATCTCCCTTTCGAAGATGAATGTTGTTATTGGTAATTACCAAGAATTATTGGTATTGGAATAAAAAAATTGCCCTTTGAGACCTTATTTTGGCCAACCTGTCTTTCCTAATCAAAGATTTATTTATAAATTGTTAATAGCGTCAGAGGAAATTTATTTTAAATTTTTGGAGGAAACCTCGCTAATTGCTTCTTCAATGAAGTGCGAGATATGTGGATAACAGATGAAGATGGTTAAAAGAGCCGATTCAATTATGATTTCGATTTTTTTGTGGTACTTATCAATAATCAAAAAAATGTAAGTACATATTTTTCTTTTATTTTATAATTGTATACTTCAATTTTTGTTAAAAAATTAATACACTATTTTCAAAAATTGCTGAGATAATTATTGTCACATATGTTTTAATGTAATGTTAATTATTTTTTATATAACGTATTTTAAAGTATTTGAATTTAATAATATTCTAATTCTTTTAAATGTTGGTAGGATGGTTTCTAATTCGATATTCAATTTCAGTAATATTTTAATCTAATTAAACGTTGGCACAATGTTATTATAGCGGTGTTTTTTTTATTCTCTTTTTTTGCTATATGAAAGTAATAATAGCCTTACTTTAGTATTTTATACTCATAGTAAATGTATTTATTTACACTTGCCTGCCATCTTAAAAAACGACATTTTCAACAAAAAATTAATCCATTATTTTTAACGATATTTATTTTTTTTAAAGTTTTGAATACTTTAGTATGCGTAAAAACAGCGTTTTTCAAGATGGCTGACGATTGTAAAAATCGCGCCAATAATTGCGCCAATGTAAATCGCCAAAAATCCGTGCAACCGTCTACCAAAGTAGCACCCTTAATATATTCAGCAGATATAATCCCATTCGGGACTACTGATATGCGCCCTCAAGTCGCCAATTCGCGCCAAATTTTTGGCGAGAAACTTACTGCCATACTATCTAAATTTGTCTACATTTCGAACTTTTAGCCTATAATGTCTCCAGAAACGCGGTTTTCGCACATGCAAAAACTACGTTTTTCAACACAATTTAGCTAAAAATCCGAAAAAAAACAAAAAATTTAGATAGCAAAAACGTAAAGTTTCTAACCAAAAATATTTGACAAGAATCCATGTACACGGCGACATGTTTTAACTTAAAAAAACATCTACGAATGGCACAATGTAGGCAACGAACGAATCTACAAACTACGCACACCTCGCTTTAATAAATTAACATAACAACAATAAATTTCAAAGAATACCATGTACACAGCATCCTGTTTAAACTTAAAAAAAAATTCTACGAATTGCACAATTTAGGCAAGGAAGGAATCTACGATCTACGCACTCCTCGCTTTAATAAAATAACATAACAACAATAAATTTCAAATAATACCATGTACACAGCATTCTGTTTCAACTTTAAAAAACATCTACGAATTGCACAGTCTAGACACTAAACAACAAAATAAATTTCAAACAATTTAAAAAAACAACAATAACGACAGAAATTCATACTAATAACCAATGAACCATAACATTCTACAAAATAAGAACAAGGATAAAATAAAATGCACTTACCATGAATTAATGCGTTTTTCGAATAGCAGAAATATACCAATTTCATACCGCCACGTAATCACTATCGTATTTACATGACAGCCAGACACACTGTCCAGAAAATTTATACTATGGTTCACAAATAAATAAAATCACAAATCCCTACTTCTATCATGCACTGCCATTAAAAATAATCTCCCAGACCCTCTTTCCACACCTCCAAATACCCACTACCCCTCAACAGGATAGCCCACAATGATATTTCCTTTTGCCGAACTTCAATTCAACAACTACCATTTTATCTTTCCCTCCCATCTTCTCAGACACAGAGACGAATCAACGAGCTCCAGCGAAAGATTTTTCAACGTCAACAGGGTTGCCATAGAACACGCAATCGTGCCAAAAACCAGCACAGAACACATCGCCACATTTGGTAAAATTAGGGCGTATATTACAGTTGTACCCCATTCAGAATCAGTCCCTGAACAGTCCCTGCTAGACTTGCTAGTCCCTGAATAGTCCCTGCTTCTGAGAAACGAGATTTCTGGTAGCACTGGTTTAAATGGGAGGATTCCTAGAAAAAAAAAGAGTCTCGCCTAGCTACGAAAACAATGTTGCGAACCGAAACTGTAAACCTCACTGAAAATGTCTCAGCTGGACCTCAGTCCCAGGTAGAGACAACCGGTCAGACGAAAGTTCTGCTTCTGAAGCCTCACGTGATCCCAAGCTGAGTGATAATCGATTAGTGTTCGGCATTCAAGTCTTTGTAGTAAGTGAAAATCGTAACCTAGCTACATGGGTTTCCTGGAATTGTGCAGGTTCTGCGAATTGTCCCTTTCTTCCTCAAATCCCGCGTAGCCGAAACATGATGTGATTGGGACCTTAGTGTTATATAAGAATTAAAAATCAGGGATTAAGTTTGAAATGATGCAGTGTAGAGATTTACCATAAATATGTTTTCTTGATTTTAGGATCGAAAAAGGAAAATAATGAAATTGAATAGGAAACTTATAAGGCATTTTCTCCCTCCTTTCAGCATGCCTTTGTGGTGTAATGGTTTGCACACTCGGCACATATTCGAGAGGTCCAGGTTCGAGTCTCGGTGAGGACAATACTAATTTTTAACTTCTCCTGCTTCAAAAAAAAAAAAAAAAAAAAAAAAAAAAAAAAAAACCTAATGACTCTACAGGGGTGCCCAAACTAAAAGGGTGGCGGATGATGATTCTTCACCACCAGGATTTGGCAACTGGGTCTCCTAATCCCCAGTCACCCTTTAAAAGGGGGAGTATTTAATGTATTTTCTCCCTCCTTTCAGTATGCCTTCATGGTGTATTCAAGAGGTCCATGTTTGAGGCCTGGCGAGATCATTGTTAATTTTTCCTGTCTCCCGCTTCAAAATAACCTAATGACTCTACAAACTTAAGGGACTGTTGCAAATTAGAATTTATTTTATGTACTTATCTAATATATGTGTTTCTCTCTTTCTCTGTTTATCTATTATATCTTA